TACGAGGCAGTTAGACCGTAGGACGGCTAGTTGTGCACCAAACTAGAATACCGTTTTACCTTAAGTTTGTTTAAATCGCTATTATTAAAGCGGAAGAGGGGTCACCTGGATGGATGACGGCTAACAGCACATCTAATAAGTATCGAGTGTGGACAATAATTAAATAACAAATAACCACATACATTAGAAGTTCTTCAAAGTGTATCTTAAATTAAGGGGGTATTGAGGGGGGCCTTAAATACTAATAGCCGGCGTGGTGGCATAAAACAAAATAGTTAAACTCAATTAAAATAAATAATAAATAACATTAAAACATAATATAAAACTCAGCTGAATAGATGAAGTTATTGATGGAGTGGTAAGTGGACGGTATGAGATCTTGTGGTAATAGTGTCGAACATTTGAGTATCACGAGTCAGAGTGTAGATCCAAGTGAATTAATATATTAAATAAATATATTTAAGCGAATACGGCAATGAAGTTATTTAGTGATGGCCAGGGCCCAATCACTGGTGGCGTTCAATTTACTATTCAAGTGAAGGCGCTTGCTACGAAAAAAAATGAAACATAAAAAATAACTTACTGAATTACGACGATGAACTGTTCAATTGATACGGAAGTCATCGATTTGTCATGCTGACTGGGCAAGGGGGTGAGTAAAGCAAATACACTAGAGATCAGCAATTTCACGATATAATATAATTAACGGTTTTTGTGACAACTGGTCCACTAGGTCTTTGCTAAAGGCGTTCTCTACCAAACAAGTTCAATATTCACATAACGCCTAAATTATACAGAGGTGACAAAAACAACAAACGGGGAAAGTGGCTGATCGTTTCATAGATGATATAACCGAAGTTGTGCTGCAAATAGAAGACTTAATAAATACTAATGTGGAAATTAGCATGACGCTTGAAAACATAAAAGTGTATTTAAAGAAAATTAACTGTGATCTGTGTAAAGGCAATTTCACAGAAAAAATCATAAAACAGCCGATTATGAAAATTTCACGGGTAAAAACATGAATACTGTGTTAAATAATAATAAATGATTATAAATATTTCAGGTTTGCTAAAATGATAGTTTCAAAATATCTAAGGCAAATAATCGTGGTAGCATTCATTTAGTGTTGAAGTCGCAAATACCTGATGGCTGTAGAGTGTTATTGAATAATGAGAACGTTGAAAAACTCAAAGATTTAAAGTGTATAATTAATAATTATATAGCCAGAATGATGAAAACCCGCAATCAAATAATATATCAAATAGATTTATTTGTGCAATTTATTGGTAATAAATAGAAAAAATAAGTAATTTGAACTTCGAACAATGATGAAATAGTCCATTTCATAAGAGACTTGAAAGACGTGGTAGTTAGAGATATTATCCCAAGGGCGACAATAATTATATTTAAGAATTGAAGAATTTAGCATAAAATAAAATTGCTAACAGTTAACTACAATTACCTTTGGGGAACCCTTTATGGTAATAGGCACACGCGTCACATTAATATGTGTGAATTTCGTATATACCCCTTTCTTATACGTAACTACAGCCATACCACAACATGTAGATTTACTCTTAGCCTCTATATCTGTGCACCTATTGTATTAGCTAAGAGAGAGAGGACCCCCTCTACAGATGGGTTTACTTTACCTCCTACCATACTATGAGAAGGGACATATGCCTTTCACTGACGTCCATACCACCGATCCGCACACTTTCTACGTTATATACCTAGAGTTGTGTAAGTTCCTAGGTTTGCTCCAAAGGGTATCCAGCTCATAGAATTAAAATCTACTAATTTATATTTTTAAAAATGTTGATAGATAATTAAATATAATTTTTTTTATTACATAAAAAGTAACCAAGTTAATTTTTAGCACTGTTGTAAACTGTTTTTTATGTTGTAACATCATAGATTCAAATAAATTTGGACTTAGATAATCTTAATTGTTTTCCAATATTTTTTTTGTGTACCATATATAAAATAATACAAATATATGTAATATTATTATAGTATATAATTATATCAAAAAATATTTCAACAAAACGCTAATTATATCATAAGTTAAAAACGTTTCAGTCTGAAACAACTTGTATATGAAGGATGATTGATTTAGCGTTATATATATATTAAAGCTATATTATGTTAAATGCTAAAACATTTTTCAACTAAAAGATGATTTGTTGATAATAAATTTAAAATCAGTATTTCAGAAGGCAAAATATTTCTATAATTTACGTAAGTTCGATATAATGTAAATTGGTCCTTGAAATAGTTCGGTAGTTTAATTTAATTAAAGTATAATACTTATAAAAAAACATCTGTTATATCAAAGGACTGTCTGATTGATTTCAATATGTGTTGGTGTAATATTATAACGACTCGATGCACTCCATTACGCTTACTGAATTGTATAGCCGTTACCATTAGTTTAATTTACTTATGACATGATTTATTTCTTTTTGGGTAACCGTAGTAAGTTACAAATATTTTAATTCTACAGAGGTTTGGCATTATTTTAATGTTAACTAGTGTTTTTGCAAAATTTGAGTTCAATTGAAAACATTAATATGTAGTCCACTTCAGATAAAAGTTTTTTTTTCATCAAAATTAATAATTATTATCAATAAATGTTTAAATGTCATGAATAAAGAATATTTTTTGTTAAAAAATATACTAAATGAAATCTTCCACAGCAAATTAATTTATCATTTTTTTGGCTGAACCCAATATTTAAAGATGCTGTAGTAAATAGCTAAAAAAGGTATTAAATAAACTTCCATATTACTACAGTAAAAGTTTTTTAACACTGTAGTAAGCAATTTTAAATTCTCAAGTAAAATAATACTATCACATAAATAATGAATGCAGGGTAAACAAATTAACAATGGTGAGAACAAGAATATATAAAGGGAAACTAGAAAAGTATAGGGAATAGACGTTTTTAAGAAGAGACGTCTTGTTTACATTCATAACGTTTTAGCGCGCGAAACTTTGTATTTCGAACTGAATTAATTTTATATTGTGTTACATTTTTGTATTATATTTGATTTTGTATTTCTGAAATTCCGTAAATAAAAAATAACCGTTCGAAAATTACACTTTGTGTAAATACTTTATATTCGCCGTGTTGTTAAAATTATGTATGTGGCTATAGTCAAGGTTGGACTGCTTGTCCTTTAGTAGGTCTTAAGAGTTAGTATGCGTGCTGGCTAGTTTTTTGGCTTAATTATCCTTTATTAGGCTTAGTAAAAAAGGTAGTTGTGCTGGTGGCTGACGCGGAGTCATCCTTTAGTCTTCTACTTTAGAGCTAAACCGTGCTGACGGATCTAAAATCTACTCCTTTAATGGTTCACTAACTGTAGGGATTGGAGCTGACCAGTATATCCAACGGGAGAACTCAGAAAGAGCCAAAACTACGAACTTGACATTTAAAGTATTAATTAATTTGTGTACTTTTTTTGTATGTATACGCCGCAGTAATACCTACATACAACAATACAAACGTTTTAAAAAATATTGTAAATGTCACATAATTACATTTTTATGTATTAATCACTTTTTAAGTCACTTAAGTGACTCTCAAGTAAAAAATTATAATAGTTATTCTATATAACAGTGAAACTATACTGTTTTGCAAAGTAGCTAAATATCATATAACGTGTTATTAACATATTGTAAAAATTTGAACACGTGGCAAATATTGAAATCCCTAAGAAAAAGATGTAACACAATTTTTTGTACTTTCAGAATAAGCATTTAAAGTTTTTAATTTTTAATCGCAAAAAAAGAATCCTGTACAGTGGGAACCCAACATAGTTGGGATTAGTCATTGATGGATAACTAACGTTTTCTTGATAATGAAATTAAATTAAAATTTAGATAATTAATTAAACTAATTTAAAATTGCTTAATGTAACAAGTAATAAAGTTATATTACTTTTACGATAAAAAGTATATTCATTGCAATGCAAGTCACTTTTTTTAATTTATTTGCTAAATATGACATTTATGTGAATTCAAACACTTACGTACCAGAAATAACTACAATGAAATTTCACAGAAGGATGTATTCAAAAATAATTAAAATAATTTGCTCATTAATAATTGTTAATTAGCAAAATAATTAAATTCGAATATGAATTAATCACCTTAAAATAATGACTCGCATTATTTTTTAAAATGAATCTTAATAATTTAATTTTTTTTAATCATTTAGGAATAAAATATTTATTAATGATTAAGAATTTTTGACAATTTACATTGTCAATATACAAAACTCTTCTGTACATATACATTTCTTCCAACATATAAAGGGGAAGCTACAGATATTCATAAATGTTATGTGAATGAAATATATATTGAATGATTTATAAGTTTAATATATGAATAAACATATATTATAGTACGTAAATGTACTAAGACATTAATATTAAATAATTTAGTGTCTTTTTGTTTAGTATATTTCTGAAACTAATCAGTTATCAATTAAAAAGTTACTTAGATCAATTTCTCTATATAGACGATTAAAACCATTCATTTCTAATGTTTTTAACTTATTAAGTAAATTGTTAATTGATTCATAAACATATTACAGTAAATTAATACTTTATCCAGATTTACGCCGATCTATTCGACCGCTCTCGTTTAAAAATAAGCTGGCCTAATCTAAAAATTTTTAATTGAAAAATTTTAGTCTTATTTAAAAATTTTTTTTAATTTTTGTTTATCTTCTCATAATTTAAAAAAAAAAATACATCTAAATGTCATGCTCATTTCTGGCCTATCCTTGTTCTTTATACACCTGGTCAGCGCATGCCAGACTTTATCAATTTTGCATTGAAACTGTAAGTGAATTTATCATTTTGGTAATAGATAAATATTAAAAAAGATATTAAAATTTTTTTTTTAACTATTGTTTGATATATATATATATATATATTTTAACTAATAATCATTGTCATATATTTGTAAAAAAATTACAAAAATAAATATGCATATTAGTAAAATAGTAGTATTGTATAAAGTATATACATTAAAAATGATAAAATATGTGATAACAAAATTAAGGAATTACTATATCTATACATTTTAAGAAACTTAGTTCTATAATTATTTTACATTTGCATTATGAAATAATTCATAAGGACGGTAAAAAATGTACACGTTGTACAAAAAGTAAAAAAAAATTATTCGGTTTTTTGTAATAGTTGGTAATATTCATTCAACAATAAATTAACACCTTATTTTATGTAAAAAATAATACACTCAATTGAATAAACGATGCCTGGGTATAAAGTTAATATTCTTATAAATAAGTTTATGTGAATTATAAAATTTATTCGACACATTAGAATGAAACTTTTAACATTCTATCCCTAAATAATATTGAAGTCAAATTTCAATATTTTTATTTGTAGTATTAGCTGTCACTATCATGGATGTAGTCCCCTAGACTATCTCTTTTTTGACAAAGAGTACTATTTGAAATATTTGGAATGTGGTGGTTTGATTTAGGACAGCTACAACAAGATCTGTTGGTTGTTGTTGAATTTGATCCATCTTCTTTCTTTTGCTTAACTCGTCTATTTTGAAACCATATTTTTACTTGCTTTTCAGATAATCGTAAGCAGTTGGCAATCTCAATACGCCTTAATCGAGATAGGTACATATTACTAGAGAATTCTCGTTCTAGCTCGAGCAATTGATTACTAGTAAAAGCAGTTCTAATTCGCTTAGAACTACCAGAATCAGTATCACTTTCAAAATCGGATTCCCTCAATGGATCTATTGATGGACACTCTGAAAAATTAAAATATTTTATCATGAGATAATTAATTATATATTTAAACGTTACATAATGAATTCATATTTGCTAAAATTATTTAAATTACATTTTTACAGCGGAGACATGAAAAGTTCTATTTATACCAAAAATATTATTTATAGTTACAATTATATAGCTACAGATTTATCTTTTTCATGTTGATTATTTTAATTCTAGCGACTTTTTATTATTATTTTCTGATTTATCAGTTATTAATTATTTCCTAGAAAAAACCTGCATCGATATATGCAACAAATAAGGCAGTAATTCACTTTTCAGGTGATTAAAAATAAAATTTATTTTTTGATTACATCCTATATGTTAATCAATTTTCTAGGTGGTTTTATTTCGATTCAAATCAAATGTTTAATATTTTTATTAAGATTATTATAAGAAGAATAAAATCTAAAGTCAAATAACTTATAATATCAAAGTCGAATTTTTTTGAGTTACTGCCTTATTTGTTGCGCACGGCGATATTATCTAAAAAATCAATATATAAAATTAAATTTAACCTTTTTAGTTCAAAAATAACTTATTGAATTAAGGAATATCATAACCAAAAAACATTGTTATGGGATCATGGCATAATGGAAACAAATATATATGATATCTGACAGCGGTCAACATCCCTATCATAAAACGCTTTGATGCAAATCTATTAAATTTAATAATAATTTGTATATTTGTAATTTTATAATTTTTATGTAGCAAACTATTGAGATATTTTTATTTAACATAAAATAATAATTTTATTCAAATTTATGAAAAATTTAAAAAAATAAATATTCAACCATTTTAGGAAATATATTTTTTTTAAAAATGTGTCAAGTATTTTATTGATGATAATTAAATAATATTTAAATTAATAAATCGTTTCTGTTATAGAAAAAAGAACAAAAAAATTTTATGATTACATAGATAACATTACTATTAGATTTTTCATTTTAATTATAGACAATCATTCAATCAATAATAACTTTTATGGAAAAAATTCAATACCAATAACCAATATATATATATATATTGGTTATAGGATTATATATTCGGATATTTAATACCCGAATATATTATAAGATGAAGGTTAAAAGTAGTTAATAACTGATAAATTAATAAATATATATCGTTAAAAAACCAAAATATTTTTTGCAATATTATATAACATTATAAATACTATTTACTGTTTCGAATCAATAGATTTTACTATAGTAATGAATATTAATTAAATTGAGCTATATGTTTAGTTATTCTCATTATACTCCAGTAAATATCTTATCCGATGATAAAATATTTTAATACGTTTTTTATGTGAATCAATGTGACTATAGTATTTTCAATAAAATTCAATGATTATTCATCTTAAATGATTATAATGGCTATAGATTATGGTCAAGAAAAGATGATATTTTTACTCTATATCGAATAATAAAAGCAACCGAATAATATCTAAAATACTTAAAATTCTAATGCTACAATAGTTATTTTTCCAAATGAAAATTTCATTCAGTTTGTACTACTACTAAAAAATTAAATACTTTATACATGATTATCGAAATAACCATTCTAACCTGTTTTTACTGGTGCTTTTTCTGCCACCCTTTTTTTGGAAACAGCAATTCGTTGAATTTTGGCTTGATGTTTTGCTTTGTGCATTACTAGTGGTACAGGTCTTACTAAATTATTATTTACTTGTCGATCATACATCAAACTGTTTGCGTCTCTAAACTTAGTTACTGTCGAAAACTCTCCAAGTAATGGTGTCATTGATCTAGACGTGATTAAAGTAGGTTGTTGTTGTTGATACCGATATACAGCTGCTGCTGTTTGGTTCAGAAAGTGTAGGTATTCACCAAGTTGTGGATGATACGGCAAAATGGAAGATTCAACTTTGTTACTAGCACTTGTTACTGCACAGGGATGTTTAACGCCATTTCCACCTCCAATTAAAGAATCGATTAAAAACGAACGTGACATTGGTTTCTTATTACCGCTCGATGTAGTAATAGTTACCGGTAAATTATCCATTCTTAAATTGTTTTAGATTTAAGGTTTTTATTAAAAACACGCACTTCGCGATATGATATACTTTTATCAATCCAGCGTTAACGTCTATTAGGAACTTACCACGAAGAGACACTGACAAACCGGTAGATCAAAACGTGGGCTAAAGGGACGAGTTTAGTATCCCCTCCTCCTTAACAGTTAAGCACCTCCCATTCATCTTACCCTATAATGTACCCTCTAGGGTACTCAAATTTGTATGTATGTGTGTAGGGACCTTTGTGCCACCCTCTTCTTTTATTATATTACATTGTACGCGTGTTTGTTGTCTGTTTTTAAAAACCTATACCGCTAATTTAACCGATCAGACCCTTGCCGTCACTTTACTAAGATCAGCACTCGACGGTATAAATATTACATCAACCAATTAATCATGATTGAATAGTTTTTTGAATTAGTGACCAGTGTATTTTTTACGTTACATACGCATCATTGTAACCACAATATTAAATATACATGAATTAATTATATACTACAATTAAAGTAAGATTAAAACATTTAACAATTATAATTATGTAAAAAAGAGTGTCTCAGAAAATCATCTAATAATTCACTAAAAAATTTATTTAGATTTTAAAATTATAATATATTTTAATTAATTATATTAAAATTTCCTTGTTCTATTATATAATAAGATTATTATACCTAATATGATAAAGTTTAAGCTATATTCGTTTTTCTATTTCGAATTTGTTTTTTCTATAGACACGACTATTAGCTACTTATGAATCGATGACGCTCGACAATACGTCAAAAGATCATTACTGTACATAGTTAAAGCACTAAAAATTTAGCATATAGATATCTTCCATTTCCTAAATGGAAGAAATACTCACAAAAAAATTCAGTTTTGAAATTAATAAAATTATTTTTGAAAATATTTTAGATTTATCACTTCTATTTGAGTTCTTTTTTGAAAAGTTAAATTTTTACTTACCCACAAAATAGATTTAAAAATAGCAAACACCTTGTAGTAATGTAAAAAGAAATGTCTTAAGAACTTAAGACACATTAATTAAAAAATCGTACACTTTTTTTTGTAAAATTATTAAATTTTTATTTCTATTTTAACTCAATATTAATGGATTTAAAAAAAATTATTTTCTTAAATTTTTAATGTATTATTTTTATATAGTATATAATATATACTATATAAAAATCCAATCATATACCTACTTAACAGAGATGTATTAAGCTATTTATTCACAACAATAACAATTTTTTTTCTTAAATCTTGACATTTTTACATATAGTTTAAAATAAAGCTTATATAATATATTTTATGTTGTCTTCAAGATTTACCTTCTTTGTGTAAACGGACGTCAAAGTTAAAAATAAATCAATTTTTTGTGTGAACAACGCCCAACTTAAAAATTATGTATAAATTGTAGTAAAAAAAAATTTGTGAGTCATTTTTGTAAATATTCGTATCGAAACCATAGACCAATGAAAGCAGGTGAGTTGGATTTGGCTTGAGAAAATGACATACTTATCATATTTTTTTTGAATTTAATTAAAAATTCTAATTATAGATAAATTTATCAATTAACTGAAAAAATATGTACGTTAAGAAACTTACTCAATACCAACTGGACTTTTATCTTATTAATGGGGTAAGAGTATGCTTTTATTATTTACTTTATTTCAGTTCATTACTCATTAGAAAAGTTCAAATCTCATTACTAATACTTTATTTGTTCTTTTTGTACTGCGTAAAAATATTGTTTTCTACCTTTTTCTATAAATTACACTCGATAGAATAAAAGTGCGCACTTTTACCTGAGGTTTCTCTAATTATAGTTTTTAACGATTTATTGATATTATCTTTGTTGAATGCAATCCATCGTCACACTGGTGAGTTAAACACTTATGAAGAAGGCGTCAACATTGAGGTATAATGCATTACGTATCCAACCAGTTAGAAAAAAGATACATGTAAAAAATATATGAATAACGTAGAAAATACACAAAAAAATCGTTGGACCGTATTAATGACTGTCGTTAACAAGATTGTGGTAATGTGCTGAGCAGATGTACAGTTAGAGGGCGTGTACCAATCGATCAATGTAGCACTAGCCTATCCGTAAAATTACCATCGAATTCGACTAATGTAACAATACTACAGATTTTTTTGTATTTTGACTTACTGAGGATAAGTATTCACTTCTGGCTCATTCACGTATAATGTCTTTCAAAGGTACGATAACACGTGTAATTTTTGTTCGCGTGTACATTATTCAAGTTCAAGAGTGTTAATAGTAATTCGGATTTTAAATTTTTTTATAAGTAAGGACATACCTCCAACTCCGGTGGTCATGCAACGCACAAATAGTGTATAGCTCAGTATAAAAAAATTGTTTAGAATAGTGTAGCCTTTATTAACACTTATTAATATCTAGCTGAAGTTTTATCATTGTTATAACATTCATTAATAAATAGTACTTATGATTTTAAATTCTCTTTTTAGGCATTTTAGCCTTTTTATACAATATGCATGATATCTATGGGTTGGGTTATAATCGACTAAAAATGTGAAATCTCATTTTCTAAAATCTGTAAGTCAGTGGTGTGATTACGGGATACAAAATTTAAGCGTTGCAAAAGTATACTTAAAAAAAAATCAATGACTCAAATTAGAGCAAAACGGATAGGCTAAGATAAACATTAAAAATATTTACAAAGTGTTGTTGCCAAATATATTTTAATAAGTAGTAATTTTGTGAAAATATCTCAAATTTACGATTTTACTCTTGTAGTTAATTTTTTATTAAACTGTAATAAGATCATTTAACTATTAAACATGTAAAAATTAAACATTATTCACTTTCCTCAGGTACCCTGATAAAGCAAATAGGTATAGAATAACCCTTTATAGGTCAATGGTAGCATAATTTCATTTTATTTAAAAACATTTCATCTTTTTTGAAAATTAAAAATCTCAAAATATCACTTTTTATCTATTACATACGTAAAATTACGGGACACTTGATTTTTTTTAACAAAATGTTCACTTAGCTTTAAATATTCTAAATATTTGATCATGGCCAATTATCATACTTCGTTATTTTCTCACTAAACATAATTGAACTAGGTCTATAATTTATATTATATCTATATATATATATACATATATATATATATATTAATTAATAAAATACAAACAAATTCAGGTGGTTTATAACAAAACATTATGAAAAATTCAAAAACAAATAAAACGTGACTCAAAATATAAAATAACTAATTATTTCTTCATGCTTTCGTGGTTCTCTAGAGTATTTAGCTCTTTCTCCGAGGAGAAGACATTTTAACTATGAATAATCCAGAATGGGTAATGAGTCTGTTACTGGAGAAAGGGATGCGTTGGTTTTAATTATTACAATCAACTGATCACCACACGGAACCACTAGTGACCGAGTTTTGAACCAGAGACAGTGCGTCTTAAGGCACTGCTATGTTACTTACTTAGTTACACCGTCCTTCTATGTAATATAAATAATGATGTATAATAAAAAAGTATAATTAAAGCTGAAATTTAATAATTTTCAATTAAAATAGTAAACAAATTAAATTTTAACTATGGCGGATAATCAAGGATAGTTATCTCTCTCGGGATCCCTGTGTACATTACAATTATAAATAAAATTTTATCTATAGGTCTTTCTTACATTAAATAACAATAAAACATTTGAATATTATATTACTGTATTGGACAAGTACCAGAACTCATTGTAGACATACTCAAAAATGTTATACAGAAGGTCGAGTAGGCATTATGCTTTGAAGAGTACTATGCTGATTCCACGTGTAAAACCCGTATTTTCATTCATTCATGTATTAAATTTATTTTATTTCTGTTGTCCTGCTGAGTTCAACGATGTAGGAGTAAAAGAAATTTTCTAGTCGATAAGTCACGGTTAGAAGCCGATCTTAACGTATCAGTTTTTTTTATTATTGAAGTATTTGACTTCATATATACAATATCACACGATTGCCGCCTCTTTTAGGATCATATTATCCATATAATCATTAGTTACCTTTATATAAGTATGAATGCGGGAGTGCGTTTGTACACGCATCTGTGTTGAAGAATTTCACAATCATCTTTTATCTATTGTATATACTTACTCTACCACTGCATTGCCACCAGTTAGACGTGCTTGAGTGCATCTATAAACGATATTCTTAATGGTTAATACACAAAAAAAGCATTGTGAATTTTTTTATATGAACGTTGATAAATAAAAATATATAGAAAAAACATCTTGAAGGTACACATTTCACGCTTATTTAACATAGATTTCATTAAAATTTTGTCTGATAAAAATAATAAATATTCACGAATTTTCACTTTCTTTAGAATTTTATTCGTAAAAGGAAATTATGCTAAAAATTAATATAACAAATACAATAGAAAATATTCTTTATAGCATAGTATGTCATAACGTTTTCACATATTTAATTACTCGGAATATATAATGCAAATGTACACAAAAAAGTTTGATAAAGATGTTTTTTGGATAGTGGAGAGGCATTAATTACTTAGCATCTTAATTCCATATCCATAAATGGAATACTAATTTGTAGGAAACCAATTTAATACTTTTTATAGCTCATATGAATTTCTTAATTTATTTTATTTTTTGAATAAAAATTATGTTTTTCTTTAACTTTGATGTTCAAATTTATATTTCAAAATAAATAAAAACCACAAAATCTTTAATTAATTAAGTATTTTATAAATACAGGTTTCCCGGATCAATTTTAAAAAGTATGAAAAATATTGACATTTTTTTGAAAATATTTGAAGTAAGGGTGGGTAAGTTAAAGATTTTGTAACTTGTTAGAATGAAAATTTAATAAGTTATCGAATTAACAGTTAAAAATAATCCGTTATTTTTTAAAACAAATTAAGTTGTCAATATCTAATTAATATTAGACAAAAGAGAAATTAAGTTAATGTAAAATCTAAATATCTTCATTAAGCTAAAAAATTTCAATTAAATTAATTTTTCATCTTATTATCTCGTTTATGTGCAGTCTTTATTTGAAGTACGTATACAAAATAATAAAGTGCACAATAAAACTATTTTTTTTTTAATTTATAAAAAATTACTTATAACAATAAAATGCAATAAAGTGTAATGATTATATGATAATATCGTTTATTAGTAACTTGTAGGAAAAATATTTTTTTTTATAAAAACGCTTTTTACAAAATTATATAAATTATTTAACTAATTGAACTATAATTATTTTTAATTATAACCTATTAATAACTCTTTCCCATTGTCAAAAAAAAAAATCTTGTATAATTTGTATTTAAAAATATATTTCAAAAATTTCAATGATAAAATGTTTTATGGTTTCATTTTCATTCATGGATTCAAATTTTACACTCCAGTGCCATCAAATTTCCTTTTCGCATTCTTTTCTTTCCTCTTTGTACTTTTTTCTCCTTAAAGTCTTCCACATCTGACAAACCTTTTTATTCTTTATAAAGCGGCTATATTATATTAAAACTACAATTAGTTATACTAAATTTACAATGGGTAGGCTGCACATACAATCTCAGGTACTTAGCGCTTGACTTGTCCCTTATTTGGACGATGACATATCTAATTGAATGAAATACATGTGTAGTTTCACGGATTGATATCAGTGACTACTTGTAGGACGTCTGGGTCAGGTACAATATGTTGCCACGCGAATATCATTTCCCATTGTTGTTCATCTGTTCTTTTATAGTTAGTCCTTTACCGCTTCTCACTTAAAATCAAAATGTATCGTTCAGTTATATTGATCTATTTTTTGCTGTTATGAATGAAATCGATCTCATTGATATCTTCAATGGTAAAGCCACAAAAGTGAATAAAGTTGCGGGTGGTATGCGTTTTTGTGCAAGTACAGTAGCAGATATGGGAGATAGATTTTTCCACGAATATTTTTAATATTAAAAATTAAATAATTAATATTTAAAAATAATATTATTTATTTATTATTGATATCGCCCAGTAAACAATAGAGTAGTTTGTAACAGATTACAAACATAATACAATACAAAAAAAAAAGTTTCTACTTAAGTACAGAAAAAAAAATTGTAAATACATAATATAATTAAAAAAAAATAAAAATATGTATTAATCAATGTTTTTTACTTTAGCTGCTGTACCATTAACAAATTTACCTTAAAGCAAACTGAGTTGCAATTTGTTAACATAAATGCTCTGAATAACAACGTTTAGAATTTTGTTTTTATTAAATAGAACTCATTATTAGTAGATTTATTATCTGTTTAAATTGTTTATGTAAATAATTTTCATACGTATTGATGAATGAAGTTAACTTGACAAACAAAAAGGAGGAAATAAATAGAAATAACTTTGACAAGAATAAATCCTTATTATGAAGAATAATACTGTATAATATATCTTAAGTGTTATTTACATTATCACACTGGTACAAGCTAGTCCAATTATCTACAGCCAAAGCCTGAGACATTTGTACACAATTTCTGCATTTAAAATTAAATTACCATAAAGAATAACATATATTTCTAATTTAATTAAAGGTATGATGTTTTAGATATAATGTTGGGTGATTGGGATCAAGAGGAACTCAGAAGAATTAGTAATTAGAATAAATTTTAAGTTTGAAAACACCAAGTTCAGGTGATTACCATATTTAATAGAAATGAAAATGTGCAGATACAAGTTTAAAGAAGAGAAAGTATCAAAAACTACATTAAAACAAGAAGTTCTTATACAACCATAAATGAATCCAATGTTGTCATTATGAAATTTTAAATTTGGCATAATGATCGTATTAAATGCACATAAATGCAAAAATAAGTACTTTATGTAATTCGTATAAGTTAAATACACACTAATATCACTAAAAATATAACATGCACATAGTATCAACTTTATTTTCCCATAATCACCGTAACAGAAACGTAAAACTGTTTTATATTACCAAACAATTTAATATAATATATTGATCTGACAATTATTAAATTTACTGTTGTAAACGTTTCGATACGTAAAGGTTGAAGATACACCGGTGTATAATTCAATTTCATAAACTATCATTTTAAGATTTAGTGACTGATTATTAATAAACAAAACAAGTCGTAAGGTTACTTTTTTTCTGAATTAAATTATATTTAATAAAATAAAAAATCCAATTGTACATGGTCATGAGAAGCTTTAAGAATTTTGGATTGTTAAAGTAACAGACATATAAGGTTAAAATCCATGCTGATTTTTGCATAAATCAGGAAACAATATTTTAATTGATTTTTTTGTAATAATTCCTTCAAAAATTTTTAGATTAAGAGAGATTTTGCAAATATGTCTGAAATTATTAACATAATGTTTATCACTTGACTTAAGTAATGATGTGATGAAACTTATTTTTCAAATATCAAAAAATTAGCCCAAATTCAAAAATATTAAATCTAAGATGCAACAGTCTAGCTAATACTAAGCTACAAAATTAAAAAAAACTGACAGTTTATCATCATGACCTATGATGGTATGCCATCATAGGATTATAGATCACCATGTGATCTATGACCCGAGAACTTAAATTAATATTATTATGATTTATTGAAATAACATTTGAAAGTGAAAACTGCACATTAAATTTTATTGAATCGTTAACGTAAGTACAAGAAAAATAATTGGCAAATATTAAACAGATTCAGAAATATCTGATGATGTGAAATTACCATATTTAACACTATTAGATACTATACTATTTATTTTTTTTTAGAAAATTGTCATATTATCAGATAGTTATTTAATATTCGATTGAATGATGTTCCTAATATTAATAATGTATTGAGCATAAAAAGCAGAAATTAAATATTTACATTTCCTCTGAAAATATAATATTTTAACATAATTATCATTAGAAGGATGAAGTTTAAATTTTTGTGAGCACATTTTTTATCAATAATCAGTTTTTTAAAATAGAATTTGCTCTAACAGGGGAATAATTATTAGAAATTTAAATTTTTTGTACATATAAAGTTAAAAATAATAAATAATTTCATAAAAATTATACTAATACTTTAAAAGATAAAGTAATATCAAAGTTCAAAATTAATATTAAAATCAAAAATGAAATTTCATTAAAATTGCAATAGTTAAAATTAATTATTAATGCAACCTCATTATAATCATAATCTGATAAACCATTAATTTTTATATAAAATTCCAAAGAAAGGTGATTATCATTTATTTTCGATTCAGGGTTTCAAAATAATCGAGAATAGTTGTGAATTTAAGATCATAACTAAGTTATACACAATCTAATGTATACAATTTAATAAATCTATATAGAACTTGTGTAAAATATTTCCTGGAATATAATCCCAAACATTTAAATCATTGGACCAATTAAAACTACCTATAGTCCCTTACTGATTCCAATATTATTTCCAGCAAGAAAATAGGGGATGACCTCCAAAACTTGGTCTCTACATTAATGGGGGTTGACGTAGTCGATATCTTTAAATATCTTGGAGTTGACATAAATAGTCGCAATAATTACCATGAGGAAATAAAAATAAAAACTGAAAATAGATGCTGAAGAAACCTTTAGGTCTAGGTTATTATCTAACAAATTAAAAATGCGGTTGTACAAGGTGTTAGTAAGACTGGCAATTATACATATAAAATGTTGTCAACGTCAAAGGAGGATGAAAGATAGCTAGCAGTTTTAGAAAGAAAATTCATCGGACGCATTTTTGGACCTAAAAAAAAATAACCACACAGGTGAATACAAAATTAGATCAAATTATGAAATTCAAGAATTTTTAAGAGAAGAAAACAACATTATACATACGCTAAAATGAAAAAAAAAATTAACTAAATGGAACACGAATGAAAATTGAGTGGCATTATGAAAGATGCTTTGAACTGGAAACCAGAAGGTAAAAGACCATTGAGCAGGCAATAGAAAAATGGTTAAATGAACCCAGCCAGAATTTCGGGATACTTGAGGTTGACAATCCGGAGGAATTGATAAAAGATAAAGAGGAATCGAGGAGGCTGTGTGGAGCAGTAATGCGAATTAATGGCCTATAATATCTGAAAAAGAAGAGATTAGTAAGACCAAATAAAATTATTTAAATTAAAATCACCAGTTATTATAATGTAATGATTAGGGTTATTAAAAACTATTGTTTTTATTGCATCACAATTAGTATATATATCAGCAGTTGCATCAGGTGGTATATAAATAACCTAATACTTTAGATGATAGAGAACGTGATATTGATAAGCAACAATAGATTAATTAAAAACCGAAGACGAACGCAATTATTAATAATCTACGCATAATATCGTAACACTTTGGGGACGCGTTGTCCAGAATGGTCATTGGACGTGAAAAGTTAGAAGCGTTTATGGTGACGCGTCGCCATCAACGCTAAGCGATACTGTACCAGCGACGGTACACTGGTACTGTATTGGTTCATTGGGTTCAGTCGTGCGACACGCTGGAGCCGATGGTGTACATTCTCAACGTTGTCTTTTCGACGACGTGTAGAAGACTTAACGTTCATTTGTGGCGGTCGTCGTCAGCGGCACTTACTGGACTTGGTACCGTGTGGTCCGCGGTGTTGGTCTGTCAAACAACCATATACACGTAGTAGGGAAATGACTGACAAAGGTGGCCCGTGCGTGGTGCTCTTTATGACAAAGCGACGCGGGACCGTGTCAAAAACATTTCGTAAAAAAGGAATTGTTATAAAATTACGAATATTAAAAGGTATTCATTATAAGAAAATTTGAACATTATTATTTTTAGAGATGATAACTGATATTTTTCTAACATACTTAATAATTAAATAAAGTTCTCCATTTCATTTACGAGGCTTATTCATCTCGAATTTTTTTATGCAATTTTGTTCGATTATAACTGACACGAATGGTAGAAAGTGGTTGTAAAGATAAAACATTTTCTTAGATTTGAAAATATCAAACGCATAAGTTGGTGAAGTAATTATTGTTTTAATTGGATGGGTATTATTACATCCACGATTTCCCAAACGACTTATATTGGTTTAATACTATTGTTGATACTGTTAATAGAACATATAATATCACACACCTGATTAGTGTCACGTATTATTCTACTGAATTACCAGCACTAAACTCCGGAATATTATAGATTATAAATTAAAGTGAAAAAAAGAATTCGGAACCATAAAGTTTTACCTTTACTACGGTTTTTTTTTCGTTAAATATTATATAAATTTTAAAAAACCCAACACAGTGGAGTCGCGGCACAGTGGGGACGTCGCATAGTTGGGTAAAGTATAATGATATCTGACAGTGATTAAAATCATTATTATAAAATCGCTTCGATGCAAATCTGTAGATAGTGTTTAATTTTTAAAAAAAATGCTGGAATAGTCCAAAAGCTACATGATCTCCTATTTCCTTATTTATATCCTGATTACAAGTTTTATGATTTACAAGTATAATATATAAATATGTAAAGGGAAATAGGTTTATTTTTAAAAAAAAGTATGTCGAATAAAAGACGGATATAAATATTATTTCTCATAAAAAAATTGTATTGATCCATACACTTTTCAATAAGTTATAGTATTATATAGTGTTTGTACGAGGCAGCTAGACCGTAGGACGGCTAGTTGTGCACCGCACTAGAATGCCGTATTACCTTAAGCCTGTTTAAAAAACGTTATTATTGATGCGGGAGTGGGTCACCTAGGAGATGACGGTTAACTATACATCCAATAAGTAAACGAGAGTAGACAATAATTAAATAACAAATAATCACATATATTAGAAAATGTTCAGATAGTATCTTAAATTTAAGGGGTAACGTGGGTAAATACTAGTGGCCGGCGAAGCGGCATAAAACAAATAGTTAATCTCAATTAAAACAAACAATAAATAACATTAAAAATAATATAAAACTCAGCTGAAAAGATGAAGCTGTTGATGATGATGAGTGGACTGTATGAGATCTTGTGGTAATGGTGTCGAACATATGAGTATGAGGTGTCAAAGTGTAAATCCAGGTACGTAATGGCAGATGAGAACAGACTACGGCAATGATAATGTTTAGTAATTGTCAGGGCCCAATCACTAGTGGCGTGCAAGGGCACGTAAACTTTGAGCACAAGGGTGCAATAAATAAATAAAAGAATAACGGCGTACAACGGCCAGACAAATTACCATTCAAGCGAAGGCGCTTGCAACAAAACAAAAGTGACACAAAAAACAATTGACTGACTAACTTACGACAATGAACTGTACACGGATGAAAACCGACACAGAGGTCCTCGATTTGCCGTGATGGGTGGGCAAGAGGAGAGTAAAGCAAGATGCTGGTGATCAGCTGTCCAACGAAATAATATAATCAATGATCTTTGTAACAACTGGTAAACTAGATCCTTCTAAAGGCATTCTGTGCCATACATACTCCTCGCTTTGTAAGACGAAGGTTTTCGAAATAACTTGAGTGAATATGAACTTAGCTTGAGATGTAGTTTCAATAATAGCATGAAATAACAACATGAACAAAATATAATCAAATAAATAATAATTTAACGTAGTCTTAAAAACATTTATCAAAAAAATACGCGACTTTGTAAGCGAACGAATCAAGTTCCACGGTCCTTTACAATGTATATACGAGGGACCAAATTACGCGGTGGTGTTGAGTTGTAATCTGAACACTTGCTGTTGTAAATAGTCGATGTTCTGTAAATCTGACGTTGTGCTGGTACGTTGGTCGTTCATAGTAAAGAGCATCGAGTTTGATCATCAGAAGGCCAATGATTGTAGATGTTCTTTTTAGCGTTGTACAAACTTTTATGAAACTTTGGTTTATAAGAATGAATATTTTGCCAAGAGTTACTAAACACTGGACGTGACATAGCTGTTAAAACTTTTTGCGGTGACGAACTGTAACGCGACTGACTTATCTTGCCTACTATTACCCAACCAAGATAAGTATTAACTGCTGATGGCAATCCTTCAGAATGAATGGTCTTTGTATTAGGCCGATTCAAATACGGAAACATGTCACTACCGATAAGCATGTCAATACATGCCGATTGATCAAATTGCGGATCG